CCCCGGATCCCCGGGGGGGGGATCCGGCCCCACGAGCGGGGGGAGCGCTGCTGTCCAGAGACATTTTTTGCTCCATCGTTTTTTGCATGAGCTTGGTGGCCCGGGGCGCCCGGTCCTGGGGCCGAGGGTCAGCCCCACCACTCCGGCACGCTTCTTTTTAAACAGAAAACTCCTCATATTTGTATTTTTATATCCGAATCTTTGTTAAAAACGATCTGCTGACGTTGAGATGTCGAAGTAACCGCATCGGGAAAACAAACAAACAAACAAAAAAAAAATGGTTCATATTTTTTTCCATAAGAAAAAAAAAGACAAAAAAAGAAGAAAAAACCGAGGGGGGAAAAATAAAAGGGGGGGGTGACGGTGATGGAGGGAGTGCGAGGAAAGCCAAAGGCGCAGGGAGGGGAGTGGGGACCCCCGGCCCGACCCCCCCCTCCCGCCGGCAGCGGGACCGGCCGGAGGGTTTGGCAGCACCATCGGCCACCACAGTCCCCTCCCGGCAGCACTGGGGCAGAGCCCACCGGGGCCGCCTGCGGGTGCCAGGGGGTCCCGGCGCTGCCCCTCACTCGAGGGTGGCGGGACCGGGGAGGGGGGGAACGGGGAGGGCAGGGACCGGCCTGAGTCGTTGTTTTTAATTTTGTACTTTAATTTAATTTTATTTTTTAAGAAGCTTCTCGGGGGGGTCTGATGTGCATGAGAAACTCGTCATCTTTTTCAATAACCTACGAGTGGCATTTATGGAGACGACGCAAAAAAAAAAAAAACCCAACAAAAAAATACCAAACAAAAAACAAAACCGAGAAAAAAAACACAAAAAAAAAAGAAAAAAAAATACTTGTGTCATGATGTTCTACGAATGATCCATTGTAAATTTAAATGCCATTTTTCACTGTACTGGTGAACAAAATGCAATGAATAAAATACATTCATGTACCGAGGCGAGGCCGGCAGCCGCCTGCTCCTTTCTGTCCTTCCCGGGCACCGGATGGTTTCTGGGGTGCCTGCGGGATGGGGTAGCATGGCGGGGGTGGGGGGGCTGACCCCAGAGTCCTTCGCTGCCTCCCGGTGCGGGGGGAGCCACCGGCTGACCCACTTACGCCTTTTGCCAGAAATAGCAGCCCAGCAGCTCGTGCCTCTTTGGTACGTTACCACCGTCCCTCCGAGGAGGGGTCCCCTCTGCGTCCCCCGGTGTCACCCACCCTGGGGGGGCGGGGGGTTGGTGCCCAAACAGCCCCTGGGGTCACCCCCGGTAACATCCGTGCATTCACCATGCCGGCACCCATGCGCGGGCAGCCCCGGCAGCACACGGTGGCACGCCTGTCACCAGCCCCTGGCACACGCGTGTCACTGCGCCGCTGGCCCCAGACACGGACAGACACGGGCCAGCCGTGTGCGGCACACCGGGGTCGGCACCGCAGCCAGGAGCGGGGATGGGGGGGGCAGGGGCAGACGTGCCACCCTGCCCACACACACGCCCCACGGTGCCCCCAGCCCCGCGCTGGCACGTCCCAGCCCGGAACCCCCGCTGCCCGGCCGGGGCTGGGGGGTGACAAGGACACGGTGCCCTTGCACACCCCCACGGCCGAGGCGACTGGTCCAGGGGTCCTGGTGCAGGATGGGGGGGGG